AAAATTGACTAAATCTCAGTAGCAGTTTCTATGTTCTTTCACTTTCAAGGTTAAGAAAAGCTGCTAAACTTTATATGAACTTATGGGAAGCGTACAAATAAATGCATTTAATTTATTTTATGCGAAACGGTTAAATATTTAAAGTGGTATGGAAATGACGGCAAAAATGATTTTTTTTCTTGAAACTTTAACACCCTAAATCTCAAAAATTAAGACTTTAAGTAATAGGTTCATATGAAGTTTTTTTCTTAAAATGGGCCCAAGAATCACCCCCTTAAGTTTTAATATGTTATTAAAAAACACCCTGTATTCTCGATGACAAATACTGAATAAACCATACGCGAATTTACCGGGCGCATAAATCAACAAAAATTGCAAACTTCGAATGTAATTCGGACGGCAAAACGTTTTCTGTTTGTACAATTTGATCGGGGTGCACGTAACTTTCCGGTCCGGCGAGCCGCGTTTTCGGGGGGAAGCGTACCTCCGATTTACCTTGTCCCCCCCGGGCGCCCGTTTCCGGCCCGACCGGCTCGCGTAAAACATCCGTCCGTTTAGCAAACTGTGCACATCACATGCATGACAATGCGGAATTATAAATTACATTCGAATTAAACTATGTAATTGCAAAAGCCCGGCGAGCGCGGCCATTAGATGGACGAATTGCGGCGCATTGAAATGGCCGGCCAGCCACCGGTAACGAGTCCTTGATAAAATAAACGCTACAGAAAAATTCGATGAACGTTATTACGCGTTATTATTAGCGTTACTTTACATAGGGTGATACTTCAGGATGTGAATATTTGGATGATTTTAAGAAAAAATTTTATATCAATATATGTTCTAAACTTCTTAGTTAAACTCAATTAATTAAAGCCCTGTATTTACAGAAGTTTGAAATAATAGAATCTATAAATGAAAATACTACTTGTAATAGATGTAACCGTTATAGGACTATCTAGGTTGATAGAGATTGTTACACTGAATGGTTGATGTCTTGACGGGATCCGATATTGAAGAAGCGAAGAACAAGCAAGCAAACAGTTTACATATGATTTTCGGGAAATTTATGTGAATAAATTCCGAAGTTGGTGTTACGATTAAAATTCATGTTAGATGCTACAAAGTGAAAACAAGCCGCGACGTCTCATAAACCCGAAATAGAGGCAAAAAAATTAATTTTCTCCGACACAATTCATCTTCTTTTTCTAAACTGTTGTCAATTCCGCTGTCATCTCTAATACATCAAGGTAGAAAAGACGGGAAACGTGACTGAAATTAATGCGACGTCGAAGATAAGTGGAACGGAAAGCCATCGGGAAAAGTAAACAATGTTATTTTGAATTTTTCCGGTTTTATTAGCGAATTTCCATACGAACCAACGGCGAAAAATAAAATTAATTTTCCGGCCTGAAATCGGCGATGAATGAAATTACACGACGCGGCGACCTCGTGAAATTCTCCCGCACCTCTACCGTCGAAAAATATTCTTTAATAGCGGAGAAAATTTTTTATTGATGCGAAACCGTTTCGTGTATACCATATACAAGGCTGCCGCAGCCGCCGTCGAGGACGATTTTTTTCCTCAACGCCACGTCAAAAACAATGTCTCGTTACGGAACGTGGAAAATGAGATTTACCTTCGGCCCCTTATTTAGTAATTTTTTCATTAGACAATTTCGCCCGGCAATGTGCACTTCATTGCCGGATTAATAAGGGTAGCTTCCGACCTTTTCGCCTTTTAACTTCCGACCGGAAAAAAATCTCTTTAGAGCGAAAATATCGCAACCTGATACGATTAAGCGCAAAGGCGGTTTCCCTTTTACCCGCCTTTCTTTTTATAATTAAGAAAGGTAGATGGAAAATGAAACGGAGCCGCTTTTTTAACTCGGTCAGCGAAACTAAATGCCGCAAATAAATTTGCAAGTGATAATTATAGTCCGCACAATGAGCCCATTTTTTTGTGCAGAAATTGCCTCAGTGAAAATTGACATAGAAAGGTCGAATGATCCCGTAAGAAGGGGAAAAGACGCCGATGCCGACGTCGACGCTCAGGAAATTAAATTTTGCTTGTAAAGAAATAAGGTAAGGTGTTCTTTCTGGCGGTGACGGCCCCTTGAGTGACGCCTCTAATGGAAGAGCAGATGGTGTGAATGAGCAATTCGGTTTTAATTTGTGCAGGTGTTGAGGGAAATATTCTCTCCACTGTGGATGATGGCTCTTTGCATTCATGAGGAAATCGCGCGCGCGGTTTTTTCCTGCACTCCCAACGAATCGGCGAAAGAGAAGACGGGCGGATTCGAATACATTTTAACACTAATCTATTTCGAGTCGATGCCGGAATGCGTTTCAAATGAATCCGAAAAAGAAACGACCAAGTTGTAAAACGCCATTTTTGATTTATCGCCGATGACATTACAACATTATTCCTCGTCTAACCTGTTTAATACGAGCATAAATTTCGCGAATATTCACCGAACCCGGTTTACTCGCTGCTTTTGACGCCGAAATAACATAACATCTTCCTCTATTTTATTAAAATTTACAACTTCTTGCGCCCGGCGCATTTCTGAGGTCGCTTTAAATACGGAAACGCCCCGCTAAATGCGCAACACATTGTATAGCGTAACGGAAATTAAGTGCAAACATAACCGTTGTATAAGTGCGTACTTAGAAACTATTTACGAGAACCTAAAGTTTCAGCGGTTTGAGCACACGGAACCGATAATTCAACCCGTACGATGACTTTACTCTACTATACTCTCTACTTTTGCATCCGAATGTGCTCGAAATAAATCATAAGCATTCATCTATTTATTCGTGTCTACAAATTAAAAACTATCGAGCATTTAAAGGGGTTTTCAGTATAAGGACATAATATTATTATCATGAGAAATAAACAATATTATAATAAAGTTTTTTGTAATGCAGTATTTTGCACTAAAAATTTGAGCATAAAAAGAGTTGCCTACCCTTAAGGAGCAAAAGACCAAAATCGAATGCCTTAATTATCTTATGATTTATACGAAATTTGGGCTCCCTTCAAAATCAACCCTTAGCTAATACCAACCAAAATCATTCCGAATAAGAAAGGTATAGGAAATAAAATAAAAACCGTACAGCGAATTGGACGTCAAAGACGATGCGATTATCACGCTCGGTAGCGTCTCGTCAACCGAAATCAATTCTCCCGGCAATCCAAATGGCCACCCTCCGCAAAAAGCCCCACGTCGACGATACACCATTGTCTGCCCGTGCGACGCTCTCTCTATACCTTAATCACGATCGGTAATCTGACTATGTTCGGCGAACGGCCGTCGACAATGCGAAAGTGCACCGCTCACCTTATATACCCGACGGTGATGGGATTAGAATCCACCCCTCTGGAAGTTTAACGGGGAAACTCGGGAACTCGGGGAGTGTGTATTTGGGTTGATACGTGGATTAGGCGAGCAGGCACTTTGCCGCGTTACACCGAGATATTTATAGCGAAAAAAAACTATAAAATTTACTTCGTTACTAACTGCAGTGATTAGGATAATTAGAGATATTTTAAGGGCGTTGATAATGTTGCAAAACGATCAATAAATTCGTTTAAAAAATTATTTACATGTATACACGTCAAGTGGTGGTTTTGCAACCAGTTGGTTATTTCTGTAATATATAACCGGTTGGTTACAAAAACCACCTGGTTATACGAAACTTCTGAATACGGGCATAATTTTTTAGTTCTCCATGCAAATGTTTAACCGTGAAATTTCGAGTGAAATGGCGAATTAAAGCTAAAAATAAATGGCGTGCAGATGCGTATATACGTATCGAGAACAGGTGGGAATAGAAATTGTTCCGACTAGCGAACGAACAAATTACCACGACGTTGAACTGAACAAACACCGTTAAATCGCTGAGAAAATTACCTGCTCGAGCTCTGCGTGAATCCATTACGAGGTCGACTAATAATTTGCATTTATCAAAAGAGCTAATGACGTGCCAAGCCCGGGAAAAATATTTTCCGGGTTGTTTTCGTTTTTGCCCGCCTCGTCCTCACGTTACTTATTAACCGGATTTGTATTAGATGGATACGTTGAGCGGGAAAATTCTCGAGATTTATACGCAAATAGGAAACAATAACCGTAAAAGTATAGGTGAACCGTGAATGGAACCGAAAGGAATAAAAACGGAAACACAATAGGTGTACAAGGCAATCCGCATACTTTCCCGAAGGAAAGAATAGAGAGGAAAAGCTTGCGGCATAGGTGAAACGTAATATCGAGGGAATTTGAGCTTTCGCGTCGTTTATGCCATCCAAACTGGCTATCCTCCAACCCAAAAAAGACCTTCTTACGTTCCGACTGAATGACTATGCTTACCTACAATCTACACAATAAAGCCAAATTTATGCAGATACACCTTCAATAACTTTCCCTTCTGAAAATGAATGACTTCCACCTGGTCTTAAAGTTATGTAGGTAACTCTAAGTGCACTTGTGGTATTACAAAAATAACTCATTAAAAAATAAATTTATTATTACCAAATTTTTGTTGAATACTTCTTACCTCAAAACTCTATTACTTCATCGTACCGAAAACTTTTACTTACTAATAAAGTTTCATAAAAACCGAATATGATTAGATAGTTGTTCAGAAATATTTATTACCTAGTTATATGATCTTATTATTGGAAATAATACCTCAATATATAAAAAGGTATAATTAAAAATTGTGGCAATAAATTGGGTAATGGATAATCAAAAAAGCCGAAAATTCTGACGTAAAGGTGAGATCATATCAAGATTTGAGTAATTTGGAAACAAATCCAATATAATGGCTTTATTATTTACTTAGAATTGATTGTTTCTTTTTTCTTTAAACCGATTGATGTCATTGTTATTACTAAAAAATAGAAAATATGACCAGATTAAAAGTCAATATAGTTATTCTTGTGTAAATATTATCTAGGAATAAATAGTTCAAACAAAAATAATCCCTATATTTTGGAATATCACTCCTTTACTAAAAGTATAAAAGAGTATCCGCGCTGGTGTATTTTTCAAAAGTACTTGCAGAGTGCAAAAATAAACATCAAGATGTTTGCGAAAATTTCGATTTGTGTCCTACTTTCGGTAAGTGGTTTTTAAATTTTGACAATTTTATTGCCATTCTGATTTAATATTGTTACAATTTTTAATTTCATAAAATATGGCTAATATTTATTATTTATTTCTTTAGGTAGTGCTGATTGAATCGGCCTCATCGTCTGCTGTGCCTACCAACCAACAAGTAGACCACCCATTATTTACCAGGCAACTACAGCTTAAAGAAGATGCCCCAGCTACAGGAAATTCCTTTTTCACTGTCATCAAAAACATCATCACTACAGTGCTCAACGCCATCAAATCCATTGTGCAATCTGTCATTAACATAGTAGGTTGTACCATACTGCAACCTTACATGAGCTTAATTAACGTTCTACGCAACATCTTGAGTTACATTAATGGAGTAATCACTCAATATGCACCAGGAACTGTAGAAACCGTCGATCCCATCATCAAGCAGATCAACCAAGCTTTGGTTAACTTGAACCAGACTCTGCATGATCTCCTTAAGAGAATTTCCAGCATGGGCTGCGGTGTGTAATAACTAACACCTCCAGAAATAAAATGTTTATGATTTTCCGAGCATTTCTTTTACCCTTCTTAGTATACGAATCGTAAGCGTTCAGGAAGCAGAAAACCCAACAATTTAGTTTAGGGGTTTACCCTAACCCTTCGGTGCGAATCTCATCATAGCAGTAATAATAAACCGTTGATTGCCGGGAGGCTGCAGGATGCACACAATACGCACGTCGTGGGAAAGCATCTTCCACCTGGCCTGGCATATTCGCTCTCCATCAGCCACGCGAGAGCGTTCAATGGGCCACGCGCCCCACCGACGGTGGGACAGCAATTGTCTATCGAATGCCCTTTAGCTACCGCTCCAAATTATAATCCCATATACGCGTTTTTTTTTCTAAAGGATAGGTACGGTAAATTTCTTAATTCCACGTCTAATGGAAGTTTCCGAGAGGGCAATCATTTAGGAGCAGAGCCAAACTTTAGTCGATTGATGTCGGTCTGGCTCAGCCTGGCGACTTCGGGTCTTGACAGTGAACTAATTAAAGTGGGTCTCTCGCAAGGATCACCTGAATATCCCGTAGCGACGTAAATAGCCTTGCTCAAAGCGCACGCGATGGCCCATTGTCGACGTAGAGGCGGTTGTTTGGCCGTTGACAATCCCGCCATTGTGCCGACGGCGCTATTATTAAAACTCCGCCGCTGCGGGAAAAAAACCGCCAGCCAAGATTGAAAGTAGCTGTTTACGCGTTAGGTACACGGACGACGACGGTTTTGTTCTTTTCCTTAATTAGCAAAAGGTACTTTTGTACGCATTAGGAACAAAGATACGCGCTGTTGAAGGGGATTTACTCAATAGATCAAAGTTGGGGCGTTTCAAATACAAACTACATTTTCCTACGCTACTCTCTCCTACTTTTTTTGCGAACAACAGCGAGGTGTGTACGATTTTCTTTCATTCCCAATCAACGATAGGGACGGAGTCGCCGCCGCCGAATGCCCCCGTGGGCGCGCCCGTCCCCTTTGCGATCGAATTCCCCCAGGTTCATTACCGGCCTTCAATAGAGGCTTATGCCAGATCTAATCCGTAAGTAAATTTGCACGAATTGTATTTTATTTGTTGGAGTATCATATGTACGCCACCGTATCGAGGGGTCGGATAGGTGCAATTAGAGGGCGAAATTTTCGTTAATCGGAAAATTTCTCTAAGCGAAAATACGATGGAAGAGAAGAAAAATACATAAATCGACCCCTTGCGGACGGAGCGTCGCGGCGCTCTTCTAATTCTTTCGCGTCGCTTTTAGTAGTAAAGTCTATTTTTGAGCGTACATTTATTAAAAGATGAGTGATTGTTTACGATAGGAGCGTAAAGTCTTCTTCCTACTACCGGGAAGACGTGCACTTAACCTGAAAGTCTGAAAGATTTTCTCGACGCTGCGCCATGTGAAAAATCGCTTTTCGCCGTTCGATGACGGCCTTTTATCAGATATAAAAACCCGTTACTTCCTCCGAACGATTCGATTGAATGTATCCGGAATATTCAAGTTCAATATTCACTCCCATCGCAAATTATTTTGTAATCTTTTAAAGGCGATTAAAAGTGCAACATTCCGAATGCCGGAGATTTACAAAATCAATTACAATTCGGTTTCTTTTCCGTGCGCTTTGGCATCAAAGATCCGGGCGGCAGATAGACCGGGAAACTTATTCGAGAGGTCAGAGATCGTTTTGCCGGCGCGGCTCGACGTAAAGGACTTACGTGTGAGTTACTAACCACGGATGTAACTGCACAGATTAAGGATTAAAGTGGACTCCCAGTTTCCGGAAACTTTACTCCCGTCGAATCAATGGCCGGAGCCCGGATTAAACTTACGTTATCCTTACCTAAGTTACCTTTGGGTAATATAAGTGAAACGGAGTTGGAGATTGTCGAGAAATTTTACGGTCCGTCCTCGCATGGGCGGGTAAATCGACACTAAAACGAGGTTCTCCTTTATTTGCCATCGTAAATCGGAAAGTTTCATACAAATATAAAAAAAGTATTTAAGAGAAGTAAGTATTTAGGATAATTACGCGATAAAACAGAAACACAAGTACATCGAAATTTTAAAACTTCTATAAACAACTGATCAGAAACTTTACGAAAATCGCAGGAATTAAAGAGCAGTTCCTTTTAACCAAAGCAGGTGATATTTTAATTAACTTCTGAGGAAAGAAAATTTACTATTCCTCGGCAACCGTACTCGCTCTCGTTTAAAAAACCTAATTAGATGCCGAATTTGCATGGAAACAACCTGCATATTTTCCCCTGCATAATTAATGAAATTAAAGTTTCTGACAAATTAAAAAGACGCGCGACCGCCGAAGTAAGCCAAAAAGTCGCCGCGACTGAAAAATGTATTAAAATATTTATAGAAAAGTTGATGACGGGAGAGATGCCGGAGGAAAGAGGTCTCGATAATTATAAAAGTTTATCCCGGGAAGGAAGCAGGAGGGCTTTGATGTGAGCATGATGAACTACGTACTTACCTACTTTGTAATTATTTAATTTGCATCAGCAAGTGATAGGTAGACGGAAGTTCGTCCTGTAATAAAACTTTTAAATATTTCCACCGACACTCGACGAGGAGAACCCGTGTCCGTCCCATACCAATTTCGACTGGAACTTTTTATTGCGACGTTATTTCGGAATTTACATAAAAACAAAATCAGGTAATCATATTAAAACCGGCATATACAGTATATTCCATCACCTCCCGAATTGAAACCGCATTTTTACTGCCCCTGAAAGTGTAATTTCGGAGATTGCGGGGAAATTACAAAGGTTCCCGACCAGGAAAATGGGACAAAGCTCACCTCTTATCTGCGGACCCGAAGAGTTCAAAGCTCTTGTGCGCGAGCGAGAGGTGGAAAGCTCGTCGGAATGGAATGGAACGGAGGACCACAGACATCAAAACCTATGATTGTAATGGATTAACTGCATATCTTTGACTGGATCTGCACCGAACGAATACAGATGTCTTCCCGAAAAGTAAATTAAATGAAAAGTCAAGTGACTTCGCAATCAGCCGTCTTATTTTCGTTGTCTTCGCTTGTCTTGTTCCGTATAAATCGGTTTAAATTTACATTCCTTATATGTTACTGATTTAATAATACATCCTTTATACCATTTGGAATTTTCTCAGGTTGTTAGGACCGCACTGTAGCTATATCAATGTATAAAAAATAGCACTCGCGATATTTTCATATAATTTTCCGAGCGAAAAACTATCAAAAAAAGGGCCTTAATAAATAACTTTCCATCACTGGGGCGGGCCAAATTGATTTACATCAACCCCTGGTTATACCTTCACGAGAGGGAAAGTTTTCCGTAGTTTTTCCCCTTTTGTTCTAAGGCGGTCGGTAGGAGCAAGGAGTACGTGCCTTTTCAATACCCTCACAGGTTGCTCCGGCCTCGTTCTTCGTTCTGCACCAGCCAAGGCGACACTCAGGTATTCAAGTGGCCGAGTCAGCGTGATTGCTACAAGAAAGATCTTTTAAATTTCATACGTGGCCATAATCCCAAAGCGCTTTCGAAGCCATCAAATTGAATCTCTAATTTATCGTGGAATTTTCCTCGGAAACTTTCCCGACTCGCCTCGTACGAATTTTTTTCTATTTCGACCGACAATTATCGACTTCTTCACCTTAATTAAGCCGTATTAAAATTCCCCGTCCCGTCGGCGTTTCGCCTCTCCCGAATAATTCACCTTGATGAGATAACTGCCGCTTTCAATTAGGCCCTCCTTAATTGAGTTATCTTAGCTCATGGCTAATTACAATATTCATCTACTTGTGTGTTGTACGACGCAGAAACGCGACGAGCCGTCCGACGACCGTCGCCGTTTATGCTCCCGTAATTTTCGACAATACTCGCCTAATTAGACATGTCGCTTTTTCAAAATAGCGACCATCTAATTTTGTAAGATAGAAAACTCGCAAATTCGCCTATTTAATACCTAGCTTTCGAGTTATTATTAACGAGGTGTACATTTTACGAACGAAGGGCGCAAATTTAATAGACTCGCGGAAACGTAATTATCTCATCGGCAGTTTCTTCTCGTATTATATCGGCTGCTTCGAATGTAGAAAATGTTAGCGACCGAAATTCGTTACCGGTAAAAATTTTATTAGCAAAATAAAAGGCGCGCTTTAACCAGCATAACGATGGGATTACGTATTCGGTACTTGTACGGCGTTGTACTGCTACTAAAAATGTTAAAAGGACTCCGATACTTGAATGCCAAAATAATCGCATTCGGTCGGTTTGCATAAATTTAATTTCTCGCCCTCTTTTCCGCGAAGGGCGAACCGATAAATAGAAATTCGTCTACCTGTTTTGAGAAATTTCGCGAAGTGAAGCAATCGAGCTAGTTCGACGTGGATTTTTCGTGTTTGTTATATTTTTCTTTTCCGCCCGACGCGAAAATTTATCGCTCTACTTCGGAAGTCGACTGTCGCTTGTATAAGTAACAAATCGGAGTTATTTCTGGAAACGTATACACGTAAATGGGGTCTTTCTTTCGCGAAATACATTGTAGGATATTATTTAGTCATTACAACTTACCGGTTCACTAGGTGGATCCGTAAAACTTCCCGTAAACTTCGCGTCGCCGTGCAAAAGCAAATGTTAACCAATTTGAGAGCAGTCACGACGAATATCTATCGAGCGAAACTAAACTTTTGCTAAGTACACTTTCGCAAACTTATTTTATGAACACAGAAATAAAGAAAAACGATATTACGTTATTTTTATACATCTTCGTAAAAATAACGTTACGTTATTGTAACGTAGTAATTGGTAATGACAAAATTACGGGAAAATGCTTCTACAAAAGTAAATGCAAAACAAATCCTCATCGATTCACCCCACGTATAAACATCAGCGTTCGTTGTGCTAAGGAATATCCAAAGGGAGGAAATATCTGAGTCAATATTTGAGGTGGATGCTATTAAGGAAAAGGGAATAAAAATCCTGGAAGGTAAGTGAAAAAGATGGAAGTTTGATGGTATCATCTACGGC